TTCAGCCAAAACCACGGCTTCAACGGCTTCAACGGCTTGAAGGGCTTTTCAAATTCACGGCTTCAACGGCTTCGACGGCTGCAACCAAAATTACGTATTGCCTCTGGACATCTCTGAGGAAAAAGGGAGCGCGGCTGTGACGACTATGCGGTGGTTGGCAATATTTTTGCATTTGGCTTTTGTGTGAGCAGCCTGCTGTACGTCAAGGAAGGAAGCACGAAGTACTGCCCACCAATGGTGACAAATAGCAGTTGCCCGTCATCATTCCAGACTTCGCAAGCAAGTCCCTACTGCATGCAGAGGTCTGAGTGTGTGGGTGTGCGCATTTACGAAAATCAGAAGTGCGCTTGCAGGTGTCTCCACTCGAAAGGCGAGCCTGTCACGGTCGTAGGAATTGTCCCCAAGGTCCTGGGGAAGATCTTTCCCTTTCGCTTTCAGAGAGCAATTCACAGATTGGCCAAATGTGCAGACCGCTTCCTCACCGGAAAGTGCCTTAACGTTTGCGGGTGAGTTCTTCGGCATCATGATCATGCGCACACACCACATGAAAGTTTTTTGCTTGCGTGCGATCTAGCAAAACAATCCCAAACCAAGTGCAAATCTGCTGGCAGGCAGAGGTGGGCGGCTAAGCCCAAGACTCCTCCAGCACCCGTGTCGGTGACGGACTCAACTGTGGGTAATGCTCATGCCAGTTCTCCAGGCTGCAGCACAACTCACCCCTTAACACAAGGAACACCTCCTTGAAAATGACTTTAGCTGGAAGCCTTCAGCGTGTGAGAGTAAAATCTCTAAGAGGCCCACGCTGCAAGTAGAGCCTCGGGCCAACCTTTCGACTTTCATCAGAATGCACTTGCAGGTACCAACCGCAGCAAGAGCACTGGGACCCTGCGGTCCAGGCCGGCAGCTCCCCAGATCTCACTTTTGTAGGGGCTTTAATCCGGCTTCTTTCAGGCTGGGGTGGCGTGGCAAGCACCAAACTTCCTTCGCCAGGGCCTGTTCTGCTTGGATTTGCCACAGCTGATCGCTAAAAGGTTGCTACTTTGGCCGACTTCAGCTCAGGCATCCAGGATACCTGCCGCCGTGGATCTCGAACGAGACTTGGGACACGGTACAGCAGGTTGCGTCGCGCGCTGCCAGGAGCTCGCAAAATTGCTTGCTCATGCTTGCTCTCACCATGTCCATGGCAATGCAAGGTGCATCCGCTGCGAGACAAAATCTTCCAGGTACATGCATGTGTCTCTGAGGCCACGAAGCGCATCGTGGGCAAACCTTGGAGGCCAAAGGCACGCAGGGTGCATTATGCAAGCGAAGCATAGGCTACAATCGAATGAACATTCCGGGGTCTGTGAAGGTGCCGAAGTGGTGACGGACGTCCCCTGAGAGAGTAGCCTCAGGGCCTCGCACCTTTGAATGCGATTGGTCCACGGACCTGATTTGTCAGTTTGCAACACTGGACACTTCTGACACGAAGATGTGCATCAAAAACGCAACGTGTTCTGGTATCTTTGTGTTTTGTAGGTTGCTCTTATCTCGTCTGCAGTGTCCAGGTGCTGCACGTGTTCAACCAATTTTGTACATGAAGGCCGCATGGCTGTTACATGTTATGGCCGTGGCAACCTGCAGCGTGCAACTGTACAGAACGCGAGGTCCCTGTATCTGTAAGGTGAGTGGGCAAATGCCAAGCGTTCCCGCCTGCCCCGATCTTAAGGATTCTGCGGGCCGGGCGGTATGCTCCGGCGAGTGAAGAGGAGGCTGAGATTCATCAGAAACATCATAGCCTGAGTGCCGAAGCAGGAACAGCAGCAGCAGCATGCAACCACATGAGCCAGACAAATTCATGCAGGAGCTTGCATGACATGGCAATGGTGATACTCTAGCCGGCATAAAGTTCTGCTTCTGGGCAAAGTTCTGCTTGAAAGCCAAGAGCACGTCGGCATGAGAAGTTGTGCTGACTGGCCACCTGCTCAAGATGAAGACATGACTAGGCTTCACGTCATAGAGAGCATGCAAAACAGACGATCAGTTGCGGATCGGTACTGGCAGCTCAGTTGTACCTACGCAAGACCCAACAAATTGAATTGAGTTTCATGCGACCTGGCTGAGGGGCAGCCTCACACAAGCTCAGGCATTCAAGTGGGCCATCTCTATTTGCAAGGCTCTTAACGGGAGCTGGACAGGGCAGATCAGCCGACCATGGATGCTGCAAACGAGACAATAGCTGGAAGCGCTGCAGGGCTGTCACTTGGCAGCCCGTCAACCTCTGCTGGGAACATCTCGCTGGTGGAGCGTGATGCAGCGAGACGTTGATTTCAACGGGATCAGCATTGCGCAAACATGGGTGAAACCAAGCATGGCTCGCTGTCTCCATGTACAACTTCCAAGCGGCCAGCTCTGGAATTGTCAGAAGTATTCTCTACCATGCTGGCGCAGCGCTAGGCTGCAGGCACAGCCTGAGAACAGAAATGGTCCCTCATTCCCAGGCTAAGCGCTGTGGAAGATGTTCTTCGGACACAGCTTTCAGGGCAGGAACCTCAGTTGACTGTCTGGCCAAGAGTCATACGGGAGAGACCAGTCTTGCAGCCAAGGGAACATCGATACACCCAAAACTTTTGGGAGGATGTCCAGGCTTTTGCGCATGCCATTGTCCACTTCTCAGATGGGGTTGAGCTTGGACAGTTCCTGTCTCAGTGAGAGCTGTGACATCAAGCTTTTGGCCTGATGTGGTCAGACTGGACACGCCTTCCGGCCGACGGGAGCATCTTAGGATTGGCGGAAGGACACCTGGATATGGGCGCTGTTTGTCGTGGAGCTGCTCGGCCTAAACAGTTCTGCAAAGGCGTAGTTGCATACCCAGTTTGCAGGCAAGAGTCCTTGAGAGCGCACGGACATCGCACCTTGCACAAGAGCTCACGACCTGCCATCACAGCAAACCCCAGGTTCGTAGACTTGCTGTGCATTGTGGCCAGCCGGAGGCCGCGCCTACTCGAGACTACTTTTGCAACTCTTTCCTTGAGACATGTGCAGTACCAACCCACTGGGAGCAAGCTTCAGACAGCAGGATGCAGATTCAAGATATACCAGCATTGAATGAGACTGCGACATGGCAAAGCTAGCTCTGTGGTAGGTCTTGGGAGAAGCTCTCCGTGATCTTCATGGCTGGGCACTTAGTTGCAATCTCTGGACCCCACATCCCGGAGCGCGTGAGCATCGAGCAGCCAGAGGCGAACACTTGCTGCCTGGCAGCTGCAGAGTCTTTAAACAGATTGGCGGCAGCCCCAGCTATGATGCTTGAGACTTGGATACAGAATGCTTTCAAGAAATACCTGCTGGTGTAAGTGTCCTAAGATAGTTTCTAACACGTGAAAGAAGATGCGAAGAAATTGAAGAAAGAGCTTCTTGTGTGCATCTAAATGCACGCTAGGCTGGCCAGCACTGGGCATTCTTTTCCAGCCAAGACTACTTTGACTCTGCCGGGGCAAGAGCCTTGGTGTTTGCGGCTGTCAGACACTCTCTGCAACTGCTGGGCGGCAAGGTCTTTGCGTCCATCATGCTGGGCCTTCCTCTCTTGTGTGAGCCTCAGTGCTCGGGACGTGGAGCCTTCTTGCCCTAGGCTGTGAAAGGAGATCTGATCCCTGCATGTCAGACAATGCCAAGGTTATGTCAGTTCATCATCGTGGGATTTTTGCTCAGAGAGGCAGGCACTGGAACACTGGCTGCATTCGCTTGGCCGCTTGTATTCAGACTTCGAAAGTCTCGGAGCACTGTCCCTGTCCGACGCCACCGCTTGCATGGAAGAATGGCTCCGAGCATTGAAACGGCCGTCAGTTAAATGGTAGTTTCCCAAAATAAGGGGTACCCCAATACAGACCCCAAAATACTATGGAACCCCCAAAAGGTAACCCCTAATTTTGGGAAACCCCCAAATGTGACACCAATCTGTCTTCAGCTTTTGGTATTGTGGAGGCTGGTTCCATGGTCATCAAGGCATCTTGGGCGATGTTGGCTTTGTTGCACAGACTGGGTCGATACTGCATTATTGTGTTGCAAGTGTAGATGCGCTGCTTCCAACATCAATGGATGAAAGGAATCCTGCACCGCTTAAAATGCCTTGTCACATTGAATGACATCAGTTGAAATATCAAGAAGTAAGATCTCCTCCATCCGCCTTAGGATTGATCCAGGAACGGTTCGGGCGATTGCGGGGAAAGAAAGTTATATATCGCATGCAGAAGTAAGTAACTATTGTTCTGGATCTTTGATTTAAGCAATGTATCCTACTCTGAGTCATGAGCCTCGGCAACAGCAACAAAATCTCGGAGCTTGTTGCACAAGATTGAGAGATGCATGCTGATTGAGGTTAAGCGGCTGGAACTGAAGCAAAAAGCACGGCAAAAGGCGCAGGAGAAGGCCTTAGGAGTTACAGAGGGACTATATTGGGGCTAGATAGGGATAATGGGTTTAGGGTTTAAGGTTTAGGGTTTAGGGTTTGGGCCCTATAATGGAGAATCAAATGGAAAAGAAAATGGAACTGAAATGTAAACTGGGGTTATATAGTGGTTAGAGTCGAGTCAGGATTGCTCAGTTTCTAGGTGAGTGACACAACATGAGCTGTAGTCTAAACTCCTTCAAGGGGGGTTATTTGGGGGATTATCTAGGGGACTCCTATGGGGTTTTATTAAGGGGATGCTAGGAGTTTAGACTATAGCTCACATGATTCCATGTTTGGAGCCTGCAGCTTCTGGCTGCCGTAGAGTCTTCCACTTATCATCGAGGCTTGCTGCTGAGCCTTCTTATTGATCTTGAAAATGATTTGGATTGTGGCCTTGCAAGGCAAAAGACGAGTGATACCTCAGAAGCCAGGTATCGCAGCTGCACAAGCAAGTGAAGAAAATGGTTGTTGTTGCTGGCAAGCTGCTATTGTAGCTTGGCAGATGGCAGGCGGACGAGGAGTCTAGATTATGACTTGAAGAGATAAAATCTGAAAAATCAGAATGAGATAACGAATTCGATTGAACGGAGGATGAACATTTCTCGATCCGAAAAAAGGGCGACCTATAAATTGAGACGGTATTTGATAGCAGGATTTACGAACCGGGGCGCTCCTCATTCATATTTTCTGAAAATCTGCTTAGATGCCCAATTTCTACCTTTCATATCTCCCAAACTATAGCACGTATTTTTCTTTAGATGGACGCCGGCTAATAATAATGACCATGAGGGATTACAAGGATTGATTGAGGACTCGCTCATATTATATATTGCGATTCTTCTTAATTTTTGAATATCGAATCTCATAGAAATAAATCGACGAATTTCGAAATTTCTTATAAGAATTGATTATAATCGATAAAAGATTTAGGATTTTCTTGAAATGCGTTGGAGTCGTAAGTTCTAACCCTTCAAATCTTTCATTATATTGATTTTGGATTTTTCGTGATAAGATCTCATGATTGATTAAGATATTTGATTTGATTATTTATTTTTTTATATATTTTTTCATTTATTTATATATTTATCGTTATATATATTTGATTATATTTTATTTGGATTTATATTTATATAATAATGATAGATTAGATTCGATTTTTACGAAATGATAATTATAGATACGAAAAGTAGATGATAATTTCTCTATTTTTTTCTGGAGAATATGGAAAAGAAGAATTCTAAAAATGAAATTTCGATCTATTAAAGAAAGATGAATTTTGGAGGCAAATGAGATTCTTGAATTGGTAGTATATAGAATCTTAATAATATTGAAGGTATAAAGTAATATAATATCAGTATAATTACGATGATTATATATTGAAAAAAATTCGATGATAATTGAATAATATGCTAAGGATATTGATATAGAATAAGAAATGAAAAATCTATTTTCTAATTTAGACAGAAGATTCATTGATAGATACGCTCGATTATTAATAATATAAAAAGAATGAAATGACCTCATGATTCGTTTGGATATTATATATTTACATATCTCATATTTGGGAAGAAATCGATCTTTCATAATATGATTCGCGATGAAATCTGCAGAAATCGATAGGGAGGATATCTTCATTGCAGATTGGAATCTAATTATCTCTTGCCAGCTCAGCGCCCTGCAGATATTCTAACGATTCCTATAGCTCTCTGCAGATAATCTATTTGGGGTCTGATGTCGAGAATCGCGCTTGATGTCTCGATGATCTCGCCTTTCTGGTCGTCTAATTTGGGGCAGGGTAATTTATCGGGTGCTAAATCTCAGGCGGAACGTAAATATAGAGATCGTGAGACGGCTCAAAGATATCATTCCCAGGGCATAGGATTTGAATCGTTGATCTTTGAATATTCTGGAGTTTGGAATCGGAGGGAAATCGTCTTCTGATTTCGTTTTGACGAGCTATCGATGATAATTTATGCCGATATATTGGATCTTCTTATCAGATATTGAAATAACGTATTTCCTTCGTAATTCAGAAATATGGGCATATATATTTGCAGCGGACTAGGGATAATAATCAGGGACCGCCCCAAATCTATGATTTTTCTATTCAATTCCTATAAATATATTCTGAGGGAGCGTGTTCATAGAAATTGATATCAGGATCCTATGCGCAGGATATGATGATTCTGAATCTGAGGGGACGGAATCTTAAGCGAATAGATGATTGGAGATAGAAGATCTTATATTCTCACTATTTCTTCATTTCATTTGAGGGTCCGTTGTTGCATTATTATTTTTCCTTCTTTCGACGTCTTCCTTCTCGTCTAATTCGTGCGGGCGTTGGCGGGGTTTCATGATTGGAAAGAGGAAGCCAAATCTTGTTATTCTTCTTTATCTCTCAAGCGAATATGAAGATATCTAATTAGATTTCTCATGATATTTGATGAAATTGAAAATTTGAATTCGGATTATTATAATAAATTGGGAATGAATAGAATCTTGATCTTTGAATCTATAATGGCTAGATTTTATATAATTTAATAATTTGCGTTCAAAATGATCATAGCTATCATCTCGGAATTATAGCCCGATTTCATGTAGTAGAATCTAAATTTCATCCCTGATGCGCCGAGGGAAGTGGATATTTATATTTCGTAATATATAATCGATTTCTTATATGATAATAGAAGCATTATTATGATAATGGAGAATCATTTGAGAGAAAGATTTTCTATGAGATATTATTCAGATTCCGATTCTTATAGATATCCAGAAAAGATTTCGATAATGATAATGATAAGGATATATCTATTATGAGCAATCTGATATACGGCGAGATCATGAATATAGAAAATTCTTTTATAGAATAAAAAAATATCAACGCTAATGACGGAAAAATGAACGAAATAAATATAATATTTTCATAAGAAAGATATTGAAGATCGAGATCCTATTCTATTTGGAAGTTTGAGAGATATTCGCTAAAGAATTTAGTAAGATATACAATCAATTTTTATTGACTAGGATCGAAAAGTGCTAAATCTCCTCCTAATAGCCAATATCGATATGAATAGGAGATCAGGTCCGAAGAGAAATATCTAAAATCTCTGATATTAGCAAAAATTATAGATATATCTGGGATCTATTTGCCAAAATCTTCTATAGGAGTAAAGAGGGAAATTCGTGATAGCGATCATATCATATTGGGATCGTCTAGAATAGGATATAAGATTTATGATAATTAGGGTCAATAATTAAATTCTCCTATCGATTCTATTAATATATTTATTTCGTGATATAATAAGGAAATCCCAAATCTTCAAGGAATCATCATCATATTTGATCGTCATTCGATCTATATCGTATTTTTTCAGGATCCGCAAGATGATAATTTCTTATCTAATTCCCTAATAATAATATTTGAAAATTATTCGCCTTCCTAAAATATCTTGTCTACGAATAATATCCCCGTCAATATTATCTTATATCAATCTCCCTTATTCCAATGTCGCTGCTATAATCTCAGAATAATATCCCTATCGATAATAGCCTGCCAATAGCATTTGAAGCAATAATCCCTTGAAGATAATATCCAGAAGATCTATTCCCGGCATAATATCCTGGCAATAACCTCCCCTAGCAATGGCAGCCACCCCCTGGCAACAGCATCCCTAGCGATAGCAGCGCCCGTGGCAGAAGCCCCACTGGCGAAAGCTCCCGAGAAATAGCGCCCGGATAATATCTTTTTTTGATACGTATATCGATGATTCTATATATAATAATTTATTAATAATCCTTTGGTTCCTACCATCAATAGCCTTGAAATATATATCGCCCCGTCACCAGCACCGTTCTGATAGGCCGGGGTCAAGAATTCAATTCCCCTATAAATAGTCTTCTAGCTAGAATATTCTTGATAATATTATATTGATGATAACGCCCGGAAATCCCATTTATTACGTAATATTTTGGTCATAATATCCTAGACGAAAATATCCGAATCCTATCTCTCAAATAAGTATAGATCACATGACGATAATAGAATTCTTATGATAATCTAGGAATGGATCTCATATATCTGTTCTAATATTTATTATATACGATATTGATATTATCTTGTCGCCGTCCCAAATCAGTCGGATAGCGTCCGGCCAATATCCGACCAGTCCCGGCCCTGCAATTGCGATAATATTCTGATAAGAATTTCATGATAATATTTCCGTGGCTATCAGCGTTCTTTGATCCGCGTATCCGATGATTCCCTATGCAATATCTTGAGAATAATTTCTCGATAGTAATAGTATCTCTTGATCTCTAGATCAATAGCTCTCCATATATCGTCCTTGTAATCAGCACCCTGACCTTTGACCCTCGACCCAATAATTCCAACGCCCTAATATCAATACCTCGCAATAGCTTCATGATAATAGCACACTGACAGCACCCGGCCTTTGATCCGCTGACAGAAACTGGCAGCAGCCGCCTTACGACCCCATTCCGGCAATAACGTATCAGCATTTTATTCTTGATTCCTCGTTCCCGATAGCTCTTTCCT